TCATGAAAATTAGATGTTTGTTTTATATCTAAAATAAATTATTTATTGCATAGACTTTAATACCAGTTTCAGCACATTTTAAAACACTTTAGTTTTAATTTCAATCCTTCTTCCTCTTTTCTATTTCTTGATCGACTTGTATAGTAAAGTACAAACTGAGTATAAATGTCAAATCTAAAATAAGATAAGTCTGCGCAGACAAACACTTTTGCCAGACAATTTTTTTAAATAAAAAACGCCGATGGTCTCTTTATCCAATCGTTCAAGTCTTTATTTTTTTTTCGAACATATACAAAAGAAATGCATCTTAATTGTAAAATCAAGCATTTATTGATTTTAAAAATTCTTAAGTGGAGCTTTTGGCCCTCAATTAAAAAACAAACAAAAAACTTGTTTGAATCCCCTGGCATATTATTTGTAGTTATACCGTAAATAAAAAGTTTTATTTAATGTACGATCCTCAGTTGAAGAAAAACATTTAGAAAAAGTGCAAAGGCAAAATAGCTACCACATTCTTTGCACATTTGGTTTAGGGCAGTATTTCAATATGTTTGTATAGATATATATATTCATTAAGTTTTCTGTTCTTCAAACATAAATACAAAATACTTTAAGGGAGTGCTACCGGTTATATAATCGGGGAATAATATAAAACATTTTTTATTTGAAATTTTGTCTTTGAAAACAGTTTATAAGAAATACTCTTTTCAAAAATCGTTTACAAAATTTGCAAAACCCTTTTTAACTTCCTCCAAAGAAAATATTTATCCTCAAAGTTTAAAATTTTAAAGAAAACTATTGAATATATATATTTATTTAATGCATTGTTGAACAGGAGGATAAAATCATGCTAGTTTTCCTTTCAATATATTCAACAAAGTGAAAATGATAAAGATAAATTATAAAATGAGAACCAGAAAACTCTGGAATAGAAAGACGACTTTCACAAGTTTTAAGTCCAATAAACATTAGACAATCCTTTTTACTAAATAGGTGATCAATAAGTTACTAGCAAAACTATATTTGTGTATCAATTATTGCTTTAATTACGTCCTCTTATTCGACAGTTTTCTGGTTCTCTCTGTAGTTATATAAAACAAATTGTTGAATTAAACTTTTTATTTGTTTTTATCTTTTGTTTTTCAAACATTTTTGTTGATTCCAAGTAGCTAGCATTTTTTTCGGGCACACTTTAGTATTCCATAATTGGTCTTTTTGGCAGAAAATTTTGAGCTTCTGCCAGGGGTGCAGACTGCATCATAGAATAGCATCTGTCCGATTCACAACTGTGCCATTCTTGACTATACAAAGCTTTAAAGGTAACCGTTGTGAATTGGAAATGCCGCTCTATAAATGGAGGGTCTATTAAAACTTCGCCTACAGTCCTTTTAAGAAAGAATGATAAAGAAAAATACTAAATAGTAAATATGTTATTTGTTGAAAGAGCTGTAGTGGCAATGCTACATATTTGAAGGTAAAAAGATTAATTATGGAATACTGTAATATTCACACATATTTAAACTGCACCTTTTAGTGCCATGAATTGGTGGAGATACACAAGGTGGTGGACAAGAAACAGCAGCAGGTCAACACCTTCAAGGAGAATATCCTGGAGAAAAATAAACTCCTAAAAATCCTCCTGTACTCATCAACATTGTCATTGGTTGGGTTTCTCTCCTGTCTAAAGGAGGGAGAAGGGAGGGGGAAGAAAGGAGATGGGTTGGGGAAGGATATGAATGAAGACATTGATGAAAATTTTGTCAGACATTTTCTCTCTCGAAGAAAATTAAGTTGTGAGCAGGTAATAACAAAAAATCCATCTTTTTCGTATTTTTTTATTTGTGTATTATTATTCATTCCCACAAGCTTGAAAATATTTGCACACATGGCACATTGGGTTGAAATTTGCACATCGGTTTTAAGTAGATTGGCACAATAAATTGCATGACATAATTTTGATAGTTTTTACAAAGTTAGCTATTCAGAGATACATATTCAGTATTTTTCTCCTTATAAAATAATTTTTCCGTATTTTCTACAAAACGTTTGAATATTAAATCGGTTTTTTTAAATTCAACTCTGTGGAAAATAAGATGCAGCTTGAATCCGAAAGCTCAAGCCGTAAATAAGGGCCAACGACAGCTTAGACCTGAGCCGTATTTTCCTGAATTTTTAAAATCGCGTGCTTTGATCTCTTAAAAACCTGGAATGCGCCAATTCCTACCATGAAAATCCGCCAAATAGAATATTAAACCAGAGCTGGAAACTTTAGAATGAGATCTCCTTAATCCTGATCAGTTGATTAATCTGGAGACTAAAAACAAGAGGAGAACAAGCCATATTTAATCTGGAGATTAAGAAAAAGAGGAGATCAAGCATTAATCCCGATATCCATCATTCAAAAGTTCCCAGCTCTGAGCTGAAGACTCAAGATTAATGCTTAAAATCCTGGTTTTACTAAACCCAAGATTATTTTAATACGCATTCTATATCCAAGAAAGAATTTAAAAATTCATCTCAACCAATCAGTGTGTCATGTTAAGATGTACTCTTTAGTTTTTTTAAAACCGTGTTTAAGGATATCTCATTCTAAAGTTTTCAGCTCAGGTATTTGAACTCAACTATGAGGAAAATAAGATGCAGCTTAAATCCGAAAGATATTGTCGTAAATAAGGCCTAACAACAGCTTAGACCCGAGCCGTATTTCCGATGGCTCAGGAATTATTATGATATATAATATTCGTCATAAAATTATAATAATACATGAGTCGAAAAAAGAATTTTTGAAAAAAATTCCTGTTTAAAAATACAGAAATTCTGAATTAAAAAATTTTCACTAATCTTTTAAAAAAATATTTTGGTTGTCATGAACAGTTAAAAATGTCTTTTTCCTTATTTGTGTGATCTGCACAATTAAAAGATTTACTTTCCAAATTTTAGCAATTTTATTACCGAGTTTTTTTTCAGTAGTACTATAAGATTTTAAAGTGTTTACATTAAAACCCTAGGGATCACGACGAAATCTGGTTTTATTCTTAATGCTTATATCTCTACAAATACTCTTTGCTCTTTACCTCTTTGAAAATATACTTTTTAATAATTTGTTTAAAAGCTCTGATTCTCTCCCACGCCCCTTAGAACGGCCATCCCACACTGATTTGATTTTTATTTTCACTCTGAAGCACACGTCAAGATGACCTTGAGTCCCTTGAAACATACTTCATTACATTTTCTGTACTGAGCACAAAATTATGGTGGTGCTGAGTTCCATTAAAGGGACTGTAAGCGATATTCAGGGCAGATTTACAATAGTACCCTTTAATCTTTGACTGATCGTCGACGGTAGAGAATTCTGTGTGTTTATCTCTAGAATGGTGTTCAAATATTGAAGTGTATGCCAGTGTTAACTCAGCTGACTTTACACATATTTCTCGAAAATCCCAAATATTATGTGTCTAACACGGTTTAAAAAAAGTATTTATTTCCTGTGGTTCTGGAAAATAGATTAATATTTCTTAAAAATAGAACTGATTTTAAACAAAGTTATTCCACAAGTTTTTCTGTGGGAAAATCATTTAAGTCCTTTATCCTTGATCAGTCAAAGGTTTTATAAAGGGTATTGTTGTTGTGAATCGTAAATGCCACTTTACAAATAGATAATCGCTTGAATATATGTCTTCTGTCTCCACAACATTTAATAAATGGATGAAAAAGTACAAAAATTGCCAGCCATACCCAGAATATGGGATCAAGGGAACATTTTAAGGGTTAAAAATAAAAGTTTTCTTAATTTTTATAATTTTCTGTCTGGTGATAAATTTAGTTAAATCAGATTATATGCAAAATTATCTATGGATGATTAAAATATTAAGATTTCTTCAATTTTTCAAAAATGGTGTATTATATATATAAATATATATAAATAATATTTTAAGATTGAGAAGATATCTGAGATAAAGAATATGACAGGAGCTCAACCAAAAGAAGAATCTCAATCACAAATTTTAGATATGGAGACAATTGATCTAACCTTACTCCCACCAGTAAACTTTAGGTATGTATTGTCAGCTTAACTTCTTCCAATGTACAAGTGTACTCTGCGTACAGATTTAACCCTTGTCAAGGTAACTTCTCTGTGCATGTGATGTGTTCACTGTACAGTTTAACCCCTGTCAATGTTTAAATGTAATCTATTCCCAACATCCCCTTTAAGTAATAATAAGTTGACCCCTTTTATGAAATAAATAGTCCGCAAAGATAAGATAGTACAGAGATCTGTAAATGGCTAGAATATGCGATATTTTCTGTAGTGGGGCTCATTGTGTACAACTGGAGTACATGACCAATTAGTGTTTCTCTGTGTACAGGTCTACCTGGTCAATGTATAAGTGTTCCTTATGTACAGGTTGACCAGGTCAATGTATAAGTATACTCTATGTAGAAGTTGATCAGGTCAATGTATAAATGAACTCTATGTACAAGTTGACCAGGTCTATGAATAAGTATACTCTATGTCCAGGTTTACCAGGTCAATGTATAAGTGAAATCTATGTACAGGTTGACCAGGTCAATGTATAAGTATACTCTATGTCCAGGTTTACCAGGTCAATATATAAGTGAAATCTGTGTACAAGTTGACTAGGTCAATGTATAAGTGTACTCTATGTAATGTTGACCAGGTCAATGTAGTCAATGTATAAGTACGTACTATGTGTACAGGTTGACCAGGTCAATGTGTGAGTATTCTCTGTGTACTTGTTGACCATGGGATACGCTATGCACAAATTGTACAGTTTGATCCCTGTTAATGTATAAGTCTACTCTATGTAAACGTTGACCTGGGTTAGTGTATTTGTTCTTTATTTACAGATTGACCTGTGTCATTGCATAAACGTGGACTCTTTATACAGGTTGACCCCTGAGCCCGAAATTTTAAAGAGTATTGTTGAACAAAACTCAGTTTCTATTTTGGTGTCTAAAAATTTGTGTAGATTTTGATTTAAGAGATTCGAAAGAATGGAGTATATAAACATACTAAATAAAAAATGTTTCATAAAAAAATATTGATATCCACAAAACTGCCTAACCCCGTCCCCATTCGTGAAACCCCGGTACTAAAACTGGTTTTCATAGCGATACCTTGTCTTAAGTTTTGTGCTTTGCCAATTTACAAGTGTTCCCTCTGCACAGGTTGACCCCTGTCAATGTTTAAGTACATACTCTATGTACAGGTTGACCCCTGAGCCCGAAATTTAAAAGAGTATCGTTGAACAGAACTCCCGAGTTACTTTTTTGGGGTCTTATTATTTTTGTAGATTTTGATTTCAGAGATTCGAAAAAAATGGAGAATATGAAGAAACTAAATAAAACAATATTTCATGTAACAAAAATATTGATATCCACAAAAATGCCTAAACCCCATTCGTGAAACCCGGGTTTCAAAACTGGTTTCTTAAGTTTTGGGCTCTGTCAATGTTTAAGTACATACTCTATGTACAGGTTGACCCCTGTCAATGTATAAGTGTACTCTATGTACAGGTTGACCCGGAAAGTAGGTTCTGATGGATTGCTTGTTGCTTGGTCGACTCCAGAAGATAATGAAGTAACTGGGTTCCAGGTATACAATTATGCAACACTTTAAGCTTTGAAATATTGTAAATATTGTAAGTATTGTTTTTTCGAGGTTTTAACAGAGAATAATGAAACTTGAAATAAACTGTGCAATCTAATTAAAAATTCGTTATTGATCTATTTATTATAATGGTTCTTTTCTTAAATAAAAAATTTGGTAATTGAATTATAATTTGTTCATTTTAGTAAATAATGATGATTGACTGATTGATTGCCCTTAATCACTTGTCACTAAGTTATATATATTTTTATATAAATTGTATGGATTGACACTTTGGTTTGTGTCTGACATTTTAGAACTACAGTGATAACCAGAAAACTCTGGAAGAAGTCGACTTTTAGACTCAAGTTGACTTTAAATTGTCCAATGACCTTTGTAACCACATCAAATCCACTTTAGTTATGCTTTAATGTAGTCTTCCTATTTTACAGATTTCTTGTTATCACTGTATTTGTTTTGGGCCTTAGATGTCTTGCTCTATAGACATAGATACATTAGTAAATGAATTAGTTTATCATGAAAGATTTGTTTATTTAGATATATATTGATGACAAGCTTGGCCATAGAGTACGCAGTTCTTCAAGAACTAAAGCTTTGCTGCATGGGTTAGACCTTCAAAATTCAATAAACCTCAGGAAAAATTCAAAGCTGTTTGTTTTGCTTTTTAAAACCATGAAGTATTTTTTCTTATTGCTATTGCTTCAAATGTCCTTTTTTTAATTAAAAAATATTTTATTTTTATTTTTGCTTGTTTTCTCGAAAAATATACAGTATAATTTTTTCTTCATAAATTAGGTTGTCTTAAATTAATGCCTTTACTATTGTGAACCTTGGAATAACTTATTTTAAGTTTGTTAAAAAACTTACATTAAAAGACCTTCCATTAAAAAAAATCTGTGTTAGCCTTGTCAAAAAAAAATCAGTTTGAATTTTATTTTAGGATTCATAGTACAGGGATAGATAATAAACTCTCCAAAGGAGAGTCAGTACAGTACAATCCACTCACATTCATTAGTCCAGAAAAATCAACAGTTTCAGCGGAGTTTTCCCGAGTAAAAATTCACAGAGATTAGGAACGTTAAAGAGAAGAAAACTAACTTTAAACTAAATATAAAAAAGTGTTAAAGCAAATTTAGATTTACCCAAAATGTTTATTTTGTGTAAACAATATTTTGTGTTTCACAATTTTAGTTTTGCTAAAAATTAAAATTCCAAATAACTCATTAAAGGGTGTTTCTAGATACTCCTTTATTTAATTAAAAACTTGCTCGTAATTTGACGTCTAGTATGAATGCGTGGGTCCCGGTGTCGTGTATCCACTTCTCCCACTCTTGTATTCTTTCCAGCTATAAGCACTAAAGACATGTCTTCCCAACGTTTTCAGCAAATTAATTTGTTTTCAATGTACAGTGAAGCCCATAAAACTGTGGAATAGGAAGACGTCTGTTGGACTCAAGTTTTGATTTTAATTAGTCTATATCCGGCCAAACGGCTGAACCGATGGGGCTGAAATTTTTTTTGGATACTCATGGGTGGCCGGTTAAAACAAATTTGATTTTTTTTCACTGGCAACGCTGGGTACTTCAGCTAGTACATACTATAGGTAAACACAGCACTCTACACTAAAATGCTTACCGAAACCTGTGTTTGCATAAAAAGCCTTTTTTTACTAAATAATCAAATATATTACAAGAAACAATAGTCTAGATGGATATGAAAAAGTATTTTTAACCAAAAAGCAAATAAAAATATAAGAAAAAAATTGTTAACGACCTTTTATTCCACAAATTCAATAGGTACTAGCTGAAGAGCCCGGCGTTGCCCGGGGAAAAAAAATTAAAACTTAAAAAAAATTTTATTATTGGATAATTTTAAAGGAAGACGACATTGAATTAATGCTTTTGTTGTACTTTTTACAATTATGATAAGTTACAGCATTAATTTTTAATAGATATTTAAAATGTAATTATTTGACATTGCATTGCGGAGAAATGATTGAACTTTAATTGGGGGGTGGGGGGGAATACACTACACTCACCGCGGGGTTTATATTATTTTCTTTGTTCCTTTGTATAATTCAATCATAAATTTTCAAATAATAACATATGCAAGCCAGCTATCTGAAATAAGAGAGAAAAAAACTATTTATATATCAATCAAAAGAATATTTGTTTGAATTAATTAAATGTCAAATCTTTCATTTTGGATAACAAATATAAGGAACTCCTGATAAAGAAGTTGTGTCGAGACAAGTTATCAAAAATCCAATTATAACTGGTTTTGATTGATAAAAGCTTATAATTAGGATTGAACAACGAGGTTATAGTGTATAGAGCGATGATGATGTACGCTAATCCTTTACTAATTGTATAGGCCATAAACTATACTTTCGTAGAAAACTATCATCCCCCAAGGGCCCAGAGCCCGAAATTTAAATGAGTATCGTTGGACTAAACTCCCGAGTTTCCTTTTTGGGGTCTAAACATTTGTGTAGAAATTGAGAATATAAACAAACTGAATAAAATAATGTTTCAAAACAGAAATATTGATATTCACAAAACTGCTTAACCCAATTCGTGAAATCCAGGTTTTAAGAACGATACCCTGTCTTAAGTTTTGGGCTTTGGGATTCAACAATTCACAATTTGGTCAAAATATATTTAGATCAGTTACTCTTTTTCAATATATTTTCTAAATATTTACATTTGTTTTCTGTTAGTGGCAGTTGTTGATATTCATTGAAATTGGCTACTTCGTCATAATCAAAACTTTTTTTCAACTTTATAATTAAGCAATTTTTCCAAGATGCTAATTTTTTTTCTGACGTCCTGTCTTATACCTCTGTAGCACCATTAAAATTAGAGGCTAACTTAATTTGCCAAAATGCAAAAAAAGGTTGGACTAGACTCTACAGAGAATCAACCTATCCCCATCTATATTATACAAAAATAGCCCAATAGGGATGAGATTAAACCTCAGACTATATATATATTCTGAGGATTAAACCAAATCCATAGTATTTATTCAAAATATAATAGTGGCAGTCTACTTACTTCAAATTCAAAACAATAGTTAAAAACTTTAAAGCAGTGCATGGAGGTATTGGGAAAAGGTTGATAAACATTAAACAATCCGAAAAATTTATTATATGAAAATAAATCAAATATTATGAAGGATATGGAGTATGACCTTTAAAGACATAAATGCAATTTTGATCAAAAAATTACTTTCTGATGGTTCATTAATAATATGATCTTCTCATATTCTACAGTGATAACCAGGAAACAATGGAATAGGAAGACGACAATATACCAATATATCTTACGTGTATTAAACGTTGTTACAAGGCGAACAGTTTTACTACACTTATTAAATCACTAATTTAGTTAAATACAGGTCCGTAACCAGGAGAGGTGCACCACCCTTTCTCCTAAAAGGGGGGGGGGGGTGCAAAGACGAATTTGCACCCTCCCCCTTTTTTTAGTTAAGTTGTTTGGTAAAATTTTCTCTTGAAAAATTGCGATTTTAGCATTAAAAGTTTTCTAACTTTGTTATCATCCTGTATACTGTATTGTGACTTGTGAGGAAGGGAAGGCACAAATCCGTTCGACCACAAATTACGTCACAACTCACCATTATTTCTTCCGACCACAACTTTCTTCGTCCTGCATTGTTTACAATCTTTTTTAAAGTACTTTAAATTATAATATTAGAGTTTTGAGCCTCGTCATGTTGTTTATAATGGTTTAAACTGTTTTAAACTGTTTTATCCTTTCTCTTTTGTTTAAAGAAGAACATCTTTTGAAGGCAACAGTAGGCACAAAACAATTCATGCAAATTAAAACCAAGTTGTTATGTTCCCTACCAATAAAATGTCAATTTTTAGTTGTAAATCCTAAAAGTCCCAGCGCACTATCACCTGGGAGTAAAATAAGAAAACATCATTTCCGAACGAAATATAGGTGTCGTCCCGACGAAAAATATATGAAGTTATTGAAGATATACATACATAAAATGTAGTAAATATGTTCCAGTATGTATCATAAAATTCAATTATTTAGATTTTCCCTCAGTTTCAATATTTTGTCCAGACAGTTCAAAAGCATGAAACAAATTAGAAGATTTGAAAGTATAAAACAAATTAGAAGATTTGAAAGTATAAAACAAATTACAAGATTTGAAAGTATAAAACAAATTACAAGATTTGAAAGTATAAAACAAATTACAAGATTTGAGAGTATAAAACAAATTAGAAGATTTGAAAGTATAAAACAAATTAGGAGATTTGAAAGTATAAAACAAATTACAAGATTTGAAAGTATAAAACTGGGAAAAAAACATCTTATTGAGTCAAAACTAACAAAATAAGGATAAAGTAATTGTTATGAAGAGCTAAATCTAATCAAAAATGCATTTTTTAAATGGACTGTAAAGGAAAAATGAATATAAATTTGACATAGTTTTATATCAATTTCTCGAGACAGAAACATCAAATAAAAACTTTCATGGGTCGCGATTAAGAGCTAAAGTGATTAGCTTTAAGCCTATACCCCCTTTCATTTTTCCTTTACAGTCCCTTTAAATTTAAAAATATGTTATAAGGGAGAGATTTAAGAAGTTTTAAACAACACCCCCAACCATTCTCCTTTCCTGTCCGAAATGATTTGAGTCTTAGGCACAAACTCAGATTTCCTAATCCCTATATCTTTGTAGCCCAATGTCGTTTATTTCCTTGGATATTTCAAACCATAAATTCTGGTAGATCAAATTATCAAAGTTTGAAAAATCAAAGGTTTACACCATCAAGTTGTTAAGTTATAGAGATTAGAAAATTTGAGCTTGTGACAAAGACTTTTAGAGTAAACAACGTGGTTTGCAAATGTGTATTTCGGGGTATGAACTATGAAAGCAGAAAAACAGCTAGAATTGAAAAACGTGTTCTCGTCTTCTTTAATACGTTTCATGACTTACTAATAGGTTTAATAAAAAGTGAAAGAAAAAATGTTACCAGCTGAAATTAATAAAACAAAGAGGGGTGCAAAGCGCACAAATACATAGTAAATAATTAAAAACCTAAATAAACAATTCGCTATTACATATAAAAAATAATTTAGGGTCTGTACAGAAACATCTATTAGAAATAAAAGTCGTCATCTAATATGGTTAAACCTTTAAATCACATTTTAAAGGCAAACAAATGATGGAACAGATTTGTTGGAAGTACTTGCACATTTCAACAGGGTGAATATTTTTAATAAATCCAATATTTTTTGAGGATCTGAAAAAAAAACCCTGAAAAGTTGGATATCAAAAGAAAAGTTTTTTTTTCACTATTTTAAATAAAGAACATGCCTTAAATATTAAATGCTAAACAACATAAAGCCAAACGTAGTCGTACTTTATGTACAGAGAAGGCATGAGACTGTAAAGTGTACATCGTAGATAGACCAGTTCAATACTAACTAGTAGATAGACCAGTTCAATACTAACTAGTAGATAGACCAGTTCAATACAAACTAGTAGATAGACCAGTTCAATACTAACTAGTGGATAGACCAGTTTAATACAAACTAGTAGATAGACCAGTTCAATACTAACTAGTAGATAGACCAGTTCAATACTAGCTAGTAGATTGACCAGTTCAATACTAACTAGTAGATAGACTAGTTCAATACTAACTAATTGATAGACCAGTTCAATACTAACTAATTGATAGACCAGTTCAATACTAACTAGTAGAGCATATCCTTCCCATCAGCTGACTCTTGAACTCTCATTTGTAGATTCTTTGCATTTCTTGACTTAGGAGCATAATACATAGCATACTGCCTACTCAACCAACAGATAACAAAAGAATTCAAAAAAAGAAAAAAAATTATGTTCTTAATATTTCAGAACAGATTTTTTTTATCAATGACAACTAAATTATGTAATTCCACTAATAGTATGTAAACTAACTTAATTTTAAACAAAGGAATTGAGTCTCTGCCACAACTGATATTTTCTAATCTCTATATCTTTGTAACCCAATGTGGGAACCCTTAGATATTTCAAGCTATAAATTCTGTTGGATCAAATAATCAAAGTTTAAAGTAGCTGGATACGAAAATTTGTTTTTGTGGCGAAGACTCAATACCATTGTATGTTAACTGTAAATATTAAAAAAAAACATTCATTTCGAGAAAAAGGTTCAATATTTGGATAGTTTAATCCATCCATTGTCTTTTACCCCAGTAATAATTCAAATAGTCATCTGTTCCTGTATCCAAGAATTCCAGCATTAACCATATGTAAAATCATTGTGGGAAAAACAAGCCTGAAAATTTCTTTATGTTTAAATCAGAGAAAAATTAGTTTTTTAATAGAACTGTATTTTCAAGTGACCCTCCATGTAAAGATGGCAATACCTGATTTACAACGGTAATCTTGAAATATGAATAAAATATCCATGTTTTGTGTATTTAAAATGTTTAATTTCATTTGTGGTTTCTCTGCAAAATTGTCTATCTCATATCTTATTTATAAGAAACAACAGTGATATTATCTGAGTTTTTGATTCAGAAAAATGATTTCTTTGACATTTTTGATCAGATTAAGGTTTCAAGGGTACCGTTGCCGGGCATTGCAATCTTTGCTTGGAGGGTAATTTGAAATTACGCTCACAATCCCTTAAAAGATGTTCTGAAAAATGTTCAAAGGGGATGAAGTTTATCTTGAATTTAGTAAAACCAGTTTGTTATTAAATGTTCTTAAAATTCTTTTTTGCATTACCCAGCAGATGAAAACTAACAGGGAGCATACAGAAACATTATAAATAAGTCTTCATCTTATCATGAGTAAACCTTTAAATTTATTAAACTAGTTTTCTACCAACCCACAAATCCATTTTTTAAATAAAAAAAAAATAAAAAAAATGTTGGTACTTTTTTTTGTTAATAAAATTGTTTTTTTTACCAATAGCTGTATCCTAGTGAACTCTGGCCAGCAGAAGACCATTGAAGACCATTTACTCGTAGAGTTTCACTGATACAAAGGTTCTCACTTATCCTAGAAAATGAGTTAGATCTTCAAATTTCACTTATCCTAGAAAATGAGTTAGATCTTCCAATTTCAAACTATTATTACACTATTTACAATGTGTTTTTGTTTTAAAGGAAATAACGCAAATCCATGTTAATTAAAAAGGTATTTGCCAAATAAAGTAAAATAAATAAGTTTTCTGTAAAATATCATTTCATTTTTGGGTAGAAGTATTATACAGATGAAAAAATGTATACCTGATGTCAAATTTTTCATTTATTTATTTAATTTTCTAATATACATTCTAGTTTTAAATCTTCTCTTATACTAAACTTATACTAAACATTTAATTTTGAGAGAGATCTTCTTAAGTCTTAGGAAAAAATGAAGAAATCTTGATGAAAAACAAACCACGTATTTGAATGTTTAGAATAATTTACTTTTACCGCTCCCAGACTTTATAAAGAATTCAAAAGAAAACACTTTAGTTTAGCTAGAATATGACAGAAAACTGGAAAAAAGGTAATACAAAATTTATATGTAGAGAGAAAACCCTATTATACACTGGACAATCATAACATATTAATATTTATGAGGACAACACGTGAATAGGTTTATTCTTGCAGTGGAGTAAATTATCCATTTTCTTACCTTGAACTAAACAATGCTCCCCATAGAATTAGAACTAGTAAATAAGAAACAGAAGATCCAATATTCCAAATGACAAGCCCATCAATTCCAAGAATTGAACTAAACAAATTTTTCTTTTTATAATAGTTTTAATCAGAGAAAAAAATTAAAAAGATTAATGGGTCTTTTTGTCAAAAAAGATGTATTTTACAAATATGTAACAATAAAATTCTTCAATGATTGATTTATTTAAGAAGGAAAAACTGAAAACTGGGAAATTTTTATTAATTATTTTTATGAACCACAATTGAGCCTTTTCCACAAACTCAAACTTTCTAATCCTCATGTCTTTGCAACTTGACGGGGCAAATCTCTGACATTTCAAATTATTTTATCCAACAGAATTTATAGTTTGAAATATCAAAGGTCTGCGACATTGGTTTCCAAAGAGTATACAACCAGAGTTTCAATTCCTTTGAGTAGCTGAGTTTTGCCCTTCAAAGATATTCAGTCTTTGCTTGCAACAAACTCTGATATTCTAATTCCTATATGTTTGCAACCAAATGTCGCAGACCTTAGGTATTTCAAACTATGATTTCTGTTAAAGAAATAATAAAGGTTGACACAATCAGGTTGCAAAGATACAAGGTTTAGAACATTTGAGTTTGTGGTTAAGACTCAATTCATTTAGACTAAAACTCTGATTATTAAATCCCTATATCTTTGCAACCAGATGGTGAAAATATTTGATACTTCAAAATCAGATTATTTAACCCAGCAGAATTCATAATTTGAAATATCTAGTCTACGACATTGGATTGCAAAGATATTGTGACAAAGACTCAATTCTTTTTACAGTTAGTCGTAAACTTTTGGTCCTAATTACACCTCTTTTTAAAAAATGACCTAGATATTCGAACCAACCAACGTCATAGCAATGTCAAATTTGTTAAGTTTGTGATTATGAGTTGTGTTCATTATAACTAAAAGATGATATTTACAAGGGAGTGAACCTGACAGGATTATAAGCTATTTTCAATTGTTCATGATAACTAAGATGATATTTAAAAAGAGAAGGCGTCGTGAACCTGACAGGGTTATGAGCTGTGTTCATGTTAACTTAGATGATATTTATAAAGGAGAAGGTGTGAACTTGACAGGGTTATGAGCTGTGTTCATGATAATTAAGATGATACTTATAAAGGAGAAGGTGTGAACCTAAGAGGATTATGAGCTGTGTTTATGATAGTTAAGATGATATTTATAAAGTAGAGGGTATGAACCTGACAGGGTTATGAGCTGTGTTCATGATAATTAAGATGATACTTATAAAGAAGAGGGTATGAACCTGACAGGGTTATGAGCTGTGTTCATGAAAATTAAGATGATATTTATAAAGAAGAGGGTATGAACCTGACAGGGTTATGAGCTGTGTTCATGAAAATTAAGATGATATTTATAAATAAGAGGGTATGAACCTGACAGGGTTATGAGCCGTGTTCATGATAATTAAGATGATATTTATAAAGAAGAGGGTATGAACCTGACAGGGTTATGAGCTTGATATTTATAAAGAAGAGGGTATGAACCTGACAGGGTTATGAGCTTTGTTCATGATAATTAAGATGATATTTATAAAGAAGAGGGTATGAACCTTACAGGGTTATGAGCTGTGTTCATGATAATTAAGATGATATTTATAAAGAGAGGGTGTGAACCTGACTGGGTTATGAGCTGTGTTCAAAATAACTAAGACTATGTTGATGAGGGAGAAGGTGAGACCAATGAAGAAGAAGATGATTGTGGAAAGCCAGAGTCCGAACTTGATCATATTTTCAGCTATTGGTCCTGAAAAAAAAATTATAGTTAAGGGATTGTTAACAAATTTGTAAAATATTATGAAAAATCAACTTTATACAACTGTGGCGAAAGATAGTCGATGACTATAGGTTGTAATATCTGAATGATTTGTTTGAAATTAAATAGATTTTTTTACGGTCTAAGTCGTATGTTGCATTTTTCTGAATTTGAATGGACGTTCTTAGGTATTAGTCGTTTTTTAACAATTTTTCTCCTTATAGACGCAACAGATAGAAGTAAGATTAGTAGCGATCAAAAGTGCTTTTTTATCGCATTAAGCCTACACCCCCTTTCATTTTTCGCGAACACTCCCTTTAAGTATCAAGGGTACCGTTGTGAATCGGGGCATTGTAATATTTGCATGAAGGGTCATCACTTAAATTTACCCAGTAAACCCACCGTTTGTATCTATTCCTGCAGAATTAGCCTCATTTTCCCAGCCTTTCTCCTTACAGATATTATCTCCAGACGAGGTGTCCTCTAAACATTTTAAAATATTTCTTTATTGATGATATTTTTTTAATATATGATTATAGTTCTTACTTTGATGAAACCTGAAAATAAAAGTTGTCAGCACAAAATTATCCATTTTTCTGTACAGTGAGAGCCAGAAAACTCTGGAATGGGAAGACGACTTTTAGACTCAAATTATGACTTTTAAAAGTTCAATGAACATAGACACAGCAAATGTGAGTGTAAACAGAACCATGTAATGCCTAATAAACTACTAGTAGAACTATTTGTTTTTTAACAACATAAAACACACCTAGGTACTACTTACATGTCGTCTTCCTATTCCACAGTTTTTTGGTTCTTACTGTATTTAGGCAATAGAATAATAAAAGTTTAAATAAGTAAATTTTTCGAGTAAAAAATGCTGAACTAAAAAATTTGGATTTACATTTACAGCTTAGGTAAAAAGTACCAAAAAGGAAACTCAACTTCATTAAAAAAAATGTACTTTGGCAGTAGAGATGGACACGTTCGGCTTTTTTCCATTTGTTCGTTTATCGTTCGTTAAACTACCCATTTCGTTCTTTTTTTCAGTCGTTCAGTAAAATTTAGAATAATTTCCATTTTCAGAATTATCATTAGTTTCCCATCTTTCTTGTTCGTTTTCTCACTGAACGATCGCTCAATTAAATCGTTTTATCTTAACAATTTAGAAATTTTGAAATATTTTGTGCGTTCACGAAAACGATGTCCATCTGTTGATGGCAGTGCAGGTTTGTACCTGAGGAGTTCTTTCCTTTGAGAATATCTTTAATATCTTCAATCCCTCCGCAGGAATACATACACACACCCTCGTAGCAAACAACTAGACAAAATCATCAATTTTTATAAGTACAGGGTTTCCCACAAAGGATGAGACTGTAAAGACGATATAAAACTCATCAAATATCAAGATTGCTCGGTTAGATTAAGTCTCCTGCCTTGATAAAAGCTTTTTAATGGCCTATTTGTTAACATGGCAACAAAAGAAACCAGTTCACAGTTGCAGATAATCCTAAATATAAGGAAATAGACAGTATAAGTATGTACAATCGTCTCTGAAGTCTCATCCTTTGTGGCTAACCCTATATTATAGCAGTAACACAGAAAACATTTGACACAAAAGATTTGAATTTATGTTGAGCTTTAATATTTCCCCCAGATGAATTTAATTCAAGTCGAGAACCAAAAATCAGAAAACTTTGAAATGATTGTCGTCTTTCTTCTTTCCTTCAATCAAGAAATGTTGCTGATGGTCTTAAAATTTATTTTTGAATCTAGCTAGAATTAGAAATAACAAATCACAAAATATTTAGTGACAGTTATTGATGAATTGATTCCCCCCTCCCCCCGATTATACAGGAAATTAAATTTACAAACAGAAAGTTCTCAAAGGCTTTAAAAGACACATTTTTCATTGTTCATTCCAATTTCGGCACAACCAATTTTTGCTGGTTGTTTATCTTTACTCAATAATATATGTAGAAAGAGGTTTCCGGCCAAGAATGAATATAAGATTAAAATACAGTGAGACTTAGGGAAAGGAATTTGACTGAATATATTTTAAAAAAGTCCAATTTTAGCATAAAAAAATATCATGCAATTGTTTCACTTTAAGTTTCACTTTCTAAGATGCTTTCAAGCTGCTTTGAATCAAAACTACATCAAGAACACAATATTTTGCTTTAATTTTGCTTAAATGTCGTCTTCTTCCTATTTAAGAGATTTTTAGGCACCAGGTCCCGCACCACTATAAATATTCAATGTTTTGTTGACAAAGGCCTACAGTGATAGCCAGGAATGACCTGTGAAATTCGATTTCCTATTTCAGAGTGTTCTGGTTATCACTGTACTATCTACTATTTTCAACCTGACAGATCTGTGTTAATTTTTGTTCCTCTATTCTTCTCCTTATGTCCTGAGAAGAGTCCAAAGTTGACTGTTATATAATCAGCTGAATCTTCTGCATTTGAAGCATTTCCCTGAACACACACATTGTTAGAAAAACCTAACAATTTGTTCGGTAAATAGAATTTCGAACATTGTATTAGATCTGTATAGAAGAATGTTAGAAATATCTCTCTCAAAATGTATCCGTAAATTAACTCCTATATAATTCTCACAAAATATATGTAAACGAGTTTGATGTAAAACTGTCTTATTTAATCCATGTAAACTATTTTGTACAATTTAAATAATCTCGATACGGAGATAATAAATATCTAGATCTCAAAAAAAGAAATATCTCTCAAAAGTTTAGTTATTCAGCAAAATGTGTTATTACATAGATAAATTTCGAAACTGCGAAATGTTTTCGGAAATTAAATGTTTCCTATTAGAGCTGTGAAACGATCGTTCTTTCACGGCTACGAACAGAACGGAACTAACGATTCGAGACGCTAGCCATGAGTGACACCTTTATTTGTTAACAATTAGGAGAGACCCGTAATTTTTCTAGTTGGAAAAAACTTTAATTCTGATATTGTCACCATATAGCCTCTGAAGCAAAAAATCCGTCAATCACTTTTTCAAAGAAATCATAAATAAAAATAAATAGTTTATTTTTTAAACAAAAACATTGATATCTAATTCATACTTTATCAAACAAAGCAATGTGAATTGGACATGACACTCCATCAATAGAATGTTCTAACCAAGCTAAGAACAGTCTTGAAGTTCTACCAAAATTCGAGGCAAATCGCTCGAAAGGTTCTTGTGCTATGATCGGACATCCAAATAAACAAGAAGAGATTTCTACTTTTTATAAAAGAAAAGTTATTCTTCAATAAACATTTTTTCTGTCCTAGCTGTTTCGTTTAAATGTGTCTTATCATTGTGTGAGCTCATTTTGTATTTACTTATCAAGAATAATTAAGAAAAATTAAATATTTTTGCATGAAAAATGTTCCCAATACACAGTTTGTAAACTCTTCTACCGTCAACATAATAAAGATTACGGTTCACTTAATATACAGGGTTACCCACAAAGAATGAGACTTTAACGATCCAAACCTCATTGAAAATATCAATTTGAAGGTTTAATATCACCCCGGACTAACCAGAGTGAGCAGCATTCGGTTTCTTCTAATTGAAATCAAACGTGTTTTGGTCTATAATCTTTAACCTTACGGATGTGTTTATTCTATACTTTTTCCTTCAAAAAGCATATGCAAAATAGTATTTAAGAAAAAAGACAAAAAAATTGTGTTTAATGGGTCAAATTGTGATCGAAAGTCACAGCTTTCTGGAATATTGACAGAACCGTAAAATTCACGTGATATGCTCTCTTCATTAAACACAGCGTTTAATAAGTTCATTTAATGAGTTAGAAACTAAATAGAGTGCATGTAAAGTCCACATTTAAAAAATGCCTGGACAATGGTTTTTTAAACTATTGTTACAAGTATCAACATCAGGTAAAGTACGTTGAAGAATGAATGCCGCAAATTATTTTGTGATGTACCCAGAGCCGGAAATTTAACACAGTATCTTTGAACGAAACTCCTGAGTTTTCTTTTTTGGACTTGCATTTTCGTAGATTTTAATTTAAAAATCAGAAAACAGAAAGGGAACGTTAAGAAACCACATTAAATAAAATGCCTTAACAAATAAATTTGTAACTACAAAACTGCCAGACCCCATTCATGAAACAGGTTTTCCGATACTGGGTTTCATTAGGATAATCTGTCACTGCACTTTACAGTATTAAGTACATACCTTGACCCATTCATTAGTTATTACTGATGTCATAAATAAAGCCAGGCACAGAATAGAAATCTAAAAAGGAAAGAGTAAACTAAAATTCTATATCTCTTTCTATTGAATGTCAATTTTATGAACTAAAGAAAGCTGCAGAATATGAAGACGACACTAAAATACTAAAGTACATATGATGTCTTCTTAAAATATATACAGTAAGGAGTTAATTCAATTATTAAGAGAAATGGGTCTGTTTACACGGCACAATCGCTGTGTCCTATGTTCAAAGGATTGTACAGGGTGTTCCATTAAACATGGAAATTCAATGACGAATTTGATATCGTCTTTATAATTAATTCTTTGATTTAGAATAGTGATACCTACTGAGAATGCTGTAATCCGTAAGATTTTTGTCTGCTATGTTTACAATTTGTTTGTTTATGCTTTGACTGCATAAGGTGGATTCTCATTTGAACTACTGCCGTTTGAAATATTATTTTTATGAATTCATTTGAACTATTTTAAGTTCATTTGAACTATTTATGTGTTCATTTACACTATTTTTTTGTTCATTTGAACTATTTTTATGTTCATTTGAACTATTTTAGTGTTCATTTACACTATTTCTTTGAATTCATTTGAACTATTTTTATGTTCATTTGAACTATTTTTTGTTTATTTCATTAATAATATTTTAATAGTTCAAATGATAGTTCAAATGAACTAAAAAATAGTTCAAATGAGCAATATATTTACTCGTTTGAACTATTGTTCATTTCAACTACTCACGTGGTACCACGTGCAGTAGTTGAAATGAACAATAGTTCAAATGAACAATAGTTCAAACGGCAGTATACAGTATACAAACAAAGTAAACTTGTCTGTCTTCACTGTTCATCTTGCGGATATAGACACATCTTTACAGCCATTTACCGTTTTCATAAAATAAACTCTAGCAGACATTATCATACAATGGCTTTTGAAATAATTCATAACAAAGACGATATCAAGTTCGTCACTGAATAACCATGTTTATTGGGACAATCTAATAGTCAAAATCCTATTCACGAGTGTTTTGTTTATCACTGTATGTGACTAATTATTTATTTGCAGTCATTACAGAGCCTTCAAATGTAAAAAAAAATTCCAACAAAAAATAAATTTTTCTGTCATTACATTAAGATAACTTTGATTTTTTTCTCGAGTCAATTTAAATTTTGAGTGTATTTTAGACTGTAAACCAATAATTCAGAAAATGTATTTCAATAACCTTGGCTGCCAAGTTCCAACACAAAATAGAGATATTTTTCACCCCAAAAAAAGCTGCAATAGGAAGGATAAAAAATGTAAATTAAATCGTACAGATTTTTTTTTAGCTAGCTCCTTTTTTTAAAGGTTCGATTACCTACCATGAGACAACCAAAAACTTCAGGCTTAAATTTTGAACATTGAACCATTTTGATGATGCCAGGGTTTTATTGTATCTATAAATAATCTTCAGATTTGAATGAAGCTGTGTTTCTATTTAATTTTTCGCATTGAAATCAGAGTAGATAATATACAGATTTTTAGCACTGAGCAATATGTGCATTGTGCACTTTGCATGCAAATTTTTGATTAAAATACAAACATACAAATGTTCCTACCTTCTCATGGAAAAATAGTTAAAACTTTTCATTAAAAACTGTAAAACTAAGAACATGCATAGAACTAACGTTAGCACATAACAATGATTTTCAGGCCAAATATCTGAATATAATATATAAATACACAGTTCGAGGAATTGTCCTAAATATCACAAAAATTAAATATTCTATTCTCATCAGCAGCAAATACACTTTAGACTCTTTCTTGTCATCGTTATAATCCGCTTTTAAGATGAAATTTGCAATTTTGATTGTCACAACTTTTGTGGAAGTGGTAATGGGTTTTAAGTCACTAAAACTAAAATGAACCACCACAGAAACTTCTTTTGCCAAATAACTACTAATTTGTAAAAAAAATGGTCAATTGATTTGTCATTTATCAAAAATGTATAGTTATTGAAAATAAGCGAAATAATACTGAGGAATTAATGCTAGATAAGAACCCTCTTATCTCCTAGACACAATATATTCCTTTCAAGCCTAATATTTTTATAATAATGATTCTAAAGGGGTATATGTTTTGTTAAAAATCAATTCCCTCTTCATCCCCAAACTATTAAAAAATCATTTGATCATTGATATACAAGAGAATAGATTGCTAATGCAGACTGTAAAGCTGAAAATTGTACAACCCCTTGTACACCATGAACTCGTCATTTAAAGAGGTCATTGAATACGTTTTACTTCTCGGGGTTAATCTGTAGAGTATTTTTTCAATGCAATAATGTTTTAAAATTTTGTAAATTGTATGTTGAATTGATTGGGAACATATATACAAGAATATAGATCGCTAATGCAGACTGTAAAGCTGAAAATTGTACAACCCCTTGTACACCATGAACTCGTCATTTAAATTGAATACGTTTTACTTCTCCGGGTTAATCTGTAGAGTATATTTTTATTTATTTAAAGAAGTTTAATAAAACTAGGCTTCTCCCATTCATTATTTTAGCTTTTAACTGTTGCACTGAAAGTCGCCACTTGAAATCGTTCTAAAATTTGCTTTTATTTTTTGTTTAAATTTGTACATTTTTAAAAGCAAGAAAATCCTTTTCAGGAAACTTTTTAAAGTTAAACCTTCCCTTGGGTCATGCGACTTGCCACACATTTGGGTCCCGTTAGTTCAGCAGTTTTAACGTTTATTGGATAGGGGTTGCCTGATTAACAATGGTACCCTTTAAACCTTTGTTAAAGAATATTTTAAAACGACGAAATCTTCCTCATTGTTTCTTGGACGAAAGTCTAAATCAGGCTTAAAATGGAGGGTAACTAGAAATTATGTCTATGCATACATTCCCTTTAAAAACTATTTTAGTCCTTGTTTCGTTTAAAATCCATAAATAAACATTGAATTTTAAAAGACACACATCTAAATTGTTTGCATTGGAACAACTACAGAGTGGTGGTGAGGGAGGGAAGATCAAAAGATTTTTAAAAGAAAATATCCTTAAGAGATTCTAAAAATGAAAATTTCAGGTCCAAAAACACAAACACAGAAGCAGACAAGACAAATGCGTAAATTAAAGTATAGTTTAAAAAATCTCTTTATTGATGAGAAAACAGAAATAATTTGGACAATTTTTTGCGGAGTTTGATTTTCTAAAAGTAAAAACTTCTTTCTTTCTTTGCAAAATCATAAAATATTACATTTCAAGGCCACAATCAAGGCAGACGACTTTGAATTGTTATATTTTAAGAGTTTCAAGTGGCTTTACAATCTCATCCTTTGTCGGTAACCCTGATATAATATAGACCACTATAGTTCCCAATAATAGATATATGTCGTCTTCACAATACCGGAGGGTTACAGTTGAAGTTGAAAATGGTAACTTAGCTATGGTACTAGCTACTGACATACAGTACATTGGATATAAAGGTTTGCTGCAAGTATATTTGTATTCTGTACAAATTTATGGGTTTTTTTAATGAATATTGCAGACATACTAGTTGAAGGTTGAATTTCAAAGGATTAGAATAGGGCTGGGCACGTTCCGACTTTTTTAAATCGTTCCGTTCCGTTCTAGAACGAGGGCCTTCTGCTAAATCGTTCCGTTCTCGTTCCGTTCCATTCCTTAGGAAATTACCCATTTTTAATTTGTTTTAAACCTCTTTTTGTTTATTTTTTTAACCATTAATTTTGTTTTATTTCAGGATCCCTCTTCAACTTGTCTAGAGTGCAATAGAGAAATCGATTGGATAGGGCAAATGGATGCTTATTATTCTTACAACTGAGTCAAAGTTCCCAACCTGTGAATATATGATAGACTTTTTGTTGAGTATGTATTCATAATTTTTTCAATGCAATAAAGTCTTATGATTTTGTAAATTCTATGCTGAATTGATTGTGAATTAGTCTTGGGGATCTGAATCTATGCATTCCCTGGGGGGGGAGCGTCCCACGCCCCTCCCCTTAGAAAAAGGCTTTAGAGACGAGATATAGGGTTAAAATGCATATTCTTTGACCAATTTTTCAAGGGTAACTCATTGAAAAATAAATTAGACTGATAACTTTAAGAGTTTGGGCGCTAGGGAAGGTTGAAAAAAGGCCAAAAAAGGTAAAAATCTAATTTTTTTTTTAACAATTGTGACACATGTTTCTACATTCATTTTTTTAAGGGCTTTTCAAAAATATAGCTTTGATTTGTAGCTTTAGTCACAAAAAAGTTATGGGCAATTTTATATTTTTTTAACACAGACCGGACGTTTTACCGCCATGTACCCTAACCTGTGCAGTAAAAAAATTGACAGAAAAATCCTTCAGATTAACTATTTATTAAAAGTCACAAAATTTCAGGGTAAGTGACAAAAATGAGAGTGCTAGGAATAAAAACTATAGGGCCGGCCAAGCCAGAAGCCTGTTTAGGGTTAAAAGCTAAAATAGTTAATGGGAGAAGCCTAGTTTTTATTAAATTTCTTTAATTAAATTAGTGAAAAAAATACTCTACAGATTGACCCCAAGAAGTAAAACGTATTCAATGACCTCTTCAAATGACGAGTTCATGGTGTACAAGGGGTTTTACAATTTTCAGCTTTACAGTCTGCATTAGCGATCTACAGAGCGTCCCATATCATATTAGATTATCTCCAATCTTTAACGCCAAAATACGCACATAATACTCAAAAAATCTAGCATTTTCTGCAAAAAATAATTTCTGTTAGCCTTATTAAATTTTTCAAAATGATTCATTCTTCTTAAATTTTCTGATTTGTCCCTCAAATTGTAATTTAGACTTATTGACACGGTCTAATTTGATGTGGGACACCCTGTATATTCTTGTATATATGTTCCAAATCAATTCAACATACAATTTACAAAATTTTGAAACTTTATTGCATTGAAAAAATTTGGTACATAATTATTTTAAAGCTTATCATATATTCACAGGTATGGACCTTATAAAAAGAATAAGATTTTTGGATTTTAAAGTATCAAAAAGTGAGTATTAACTTACCAATTGATCTAACATTATTTATTTTTCTCCTCTAATTTTCGAATACAGGGTGTCCTACGAACTTTGACAGTAGAAAGAGAACTTTAAGGTCTTCTTAGATATTTTAAATTATAAGCAGCATTCATCGTCAATCTATTTTTACATGCATGATTCCTGAAACAACAATCACAGAATGCCGCAAATTAGTTCAAAGATCGAGGAAGACCTTCAAGTTGTCTTTCTACTGTCAGGTTTTGTGAGGACACCCTGTATTTGAAGATTTAAAAATAGTAAAACATGTTTTTGAAGTTCCACAATTGTAAAACATGATTGCCACCAGGCAGATTAGTGTTTTGAGCATTTGAAATTATGAACAAACTCCCAGCTTCTTGCTGAAGTAACCGCATTCAATCATTTTATTTGTATTTTATATTACTAGATAAATTTTTCTCTAACAACATATACAGATATGTGCTATTAGAAAAAATGTATTCTCAATTTTACCTTTATTGATTATATTTTTCAGGCTTATCAGAGAATTTAATTTCAATTTTGAATAAATTATCATTTAATACAGAAAATAATCATTTCTTTATGATTATAGTAATAAAATTATTGTCATTTTTTATTGTTAATATTAACTTAATTATAAGATGTATTTTAAGATGAAATGGTAAAAAATGCTATTTTTAAAGAAACATTAATCAATCATAATTGGTAAATAATTCGTATTAAGGGTGTCGGTACCTTTTTTCCTTTTAATTGTAGTTGTAGTAGAAGTGGAAGTAGTAGTAGTAGTAGTAGTAGTAGTAGTAGTAGTAGTAGTAGTAGTAGTAGTAGTAGTAGTAGTAGTAGTAGTAGTAGCTACAGTTGTTCCTGTTCCAGAAGTAGCAGTAGCTGCAGTTGTTCCAGTTCCAGAAGTAGTAGTTATAGCTACCGTTGTTCCTGCTCCAGCAGGAGTAGGAGCTATAGTTGTTCCTGCTTCAGTTGGGCCTGTTCCAGAAGTTGTGCTATGAGTTCCCGTGCCTGTTGTACAAGTAACTCTTGTTGTTGCAGAAGTGGTTGTGGTTGAACTTGCTGTTTGTGCTTCAGAAGCAGTTGAAGATACTGCAGTACTGGAGGAACTTGCTCCCTCTGTAGTTGTAGTGGAATCAGATTCTGGTTCACATCTATTTGTAGTTATTTCTGCAGTAGTACTAACAGTGGTTTCACTTGCAGAAACTGCAGCAGTGGTTGAAGCTGTTGCAGTGCTTAAGGAAGCAGTGGTAGCAACAGATTCTGAAGATTGAGTATTGCTTATAGCTGTGGTACTTTCTGTATTAGGTGAAGCCGTTGTAGCAATAGCAGTTGTTAAAGCATCATTATTTACTGCTGTTGTGACAACTGTTGTTTCAGTTGTAGTCACATCACATGCAACAGTAGCTAAAATAGAACACCTTCTTGTGAAAAAAAAATGATTTTAATAAAACAATTAAAGCAAATCGGAAATTGATTTCCGTTTACGCAACCAGTCCTAATTGTACCTGTAGATGATTCATCTTCATAGCATACAAAATTTTTCTTCTGGTTACAACTTGCATCGTAGAAATCACCTGAGCTAAAAAATAATAATAAAGTCATTTCTTTTGAAGATTTTGCAATCGCCAAGTCAAGTCAGCCAACTCATGGAAATCATTTTGATGTATTCATATTGCTTTTTCATAATTTGCAAAAACCTAGTATTCAAAAGACTCCTGATACTTTCTTACTAAGTTGGCTTTATTATGTGAAACTTTAAAGTGGGCCAATGTTAAAGAAATCATTTACGAGTTTGACATTGCTTCAGTTCCATTTAATTTTGATGCGGACATGGATCCTGGGTCCGGTCTGGGAAAATTGGATAAAAATCTTTATCAATCATCAGATCATAATCAATGAACATACCCTCAATATTTACAACCCCCCCCCCCATGTAAATGTTCAAAACGTTCTTTACTATTGGTCGCAAATGTGTATGCTGGAATTTGATGGAACTATAAAGATTATGGAAGTCTTGAATAATTCCTTACTAGTTTCCAGATGAGATTAGCATCTTCAGAGCAAGAAGTCTTTTTTGCAGGTTTTGGCTAATAGAACTGAATTTGTTTGGTGCTACCTATATTGTAAACAGTTTTCCCAGTTTCTTCCATTTGGTTCATTTGTTTCACTCCATCTTCTGGCAACCTTCCACCAGTTGGTTGGAATCTTAAAATCTGCATTGTCTTGCCAAATCCACACGCCCTAAAGGAAAAAGTTAACAATAGCATATGGATCCACGGATCTGGATCCAAAGGGTAGAATATTAACAAGAGCCTGTAAAAAAAAAATTGCTTTCAAAACCCAAATCGTAACTGTTGCAAAGTAAAAGAGATAATTAGAATCTTCCATATCTCTGAATGGTTCATCAGGTTTGGCCCAAAAATAATCAGGGGTGTAAATAATTCCAACTATTGATTCTTTCCCCCCCCCCCTCCCCTTCTAACATTTGTTTTGAATTCTTTCCCCAAATTCGATTTAAACTGTAGAGCAAAGTTATCCCCAAAAGGATGCATTAAAATGTCATTTTTAGAACTAAAATCATTTGCAGGAGCACTTAAAGCTCAATGGTACCCTTGAAACTTTTATCAGATAATAATATGGAATATATTGTTGGTTTTATTAGTTCTAGTTTTAAAGTGTTTAATTCCAATGATTCATTTATGTTTTTCTGTAGTAGAACTGCGCAAGTCACTTTTATAGAGAAAATTATTAGTTTTTGAAATTACACATGGATAACTTGTTCATAAATGATCAGACAGAACTTTTATGAGTTCTGTTGTGAAATCATCCACAGCCATATTTGCATGTGAGATCACTTGAAATTATGCTTACAGTCCCATTAAAGTTACATTGCTGTTTTGGTATCCACTACTCAAACCTTGAAGGGTTAACCTTCTCAAGTTTTCAATCTCTGACGAAAAAAGTATTCATATAATTTTGAAATGGCACATTTATAAGGACTGTCTGTTTTATTTTCAAACCCTAATCTAATTTATACTTGATCAAACAAAGCACTTTTGAGTAAAAAATTATCAATCGGACATGAACGTTTAGGGAGGGTCACTTGAAATTTCATTAAATTATCTTGACCCAAGAAGACACAGGTTTATGCAACAAAAGTTTTGGTCTCTGTTTATTTACCTCCTTTTCATCATCTGTAGCTCCTAGCCATACATCCCGGGAACCTGTTATCAAGGTTTCAAGTTTCTTTCTAGCCTCCTTAAACAGCAGATCTGATTTCTTGCATAATTTTCTAATTTTCTTAATAATCTAAATTTTGAGAAGAGTAGGTGGCGAGTAATCAGTTTTTTTAGAAGTTAAAACCTTTTTACTTTTAGACTTTTTTACTGCATTGTTATTACCAAACACAAAACTGTAATGACCACCTCACTGCCATCTCAGAATGCCAAAAATTCTGAAAGTTCAAATGGTGGAGTTGGCACATTTTTGGAGGTCATTTAGGTCATTAGAGGTCGTTAGAGGTCATTAGAAAGTCAAACAGTGTATTTGTTGCTGCTACTGTATTCCCTGGGTTCCTAGCTTTCGCTTGATATGCATAAAGCCATAGTTGAAATATTTTCTATTTGTGGAGGTCATTAGAGGATTGATAAAAACTCAATGAT